TCATGAACCACAAGATCATGACTTGAGCCAAAGTCTGATGCTCAACTGAGTCACCCAGGCACCCCCAGATTTTAATACTGCTAACACTTTTGCTAATTAATAAAGCAAATAATTAAAGATAACTTGTTCTAATGTCTCTATAACTAATACACTTTTTCTTGTTTTATGTTATTACTCCTAGAACTATGAATTTAAAATCCATAGACATGGGCTCCTGGAGATAGCTTATTGATATAAACAATACCTAAACATGTTCTTAAGCAGTGACTTATAAACATAGCACTGATTTAGCTGGACTTAGTCATCTTTGAAACATTTGAACATTTGAGTTATTTGATAAAAAGTATTACTCACCGAGCAAACACTAATTTCTTTCCTTTGCAGAGTCTAGGGAGGAGAAAAACAAAAGAATGTTAAAAGAATGTGAATTCGTTTGATATTCTGATCTATCTTTTGTTTGGTACACCATGATGGACTCAGTACCTGTGCTCTGTGTACTCACTGCCTAACCCACTGCCTGGCATAAAGTAGGTGAACAATAGGTATTTTTCAAATGACTAAATAAAAAATAGTGAACACAGACATAACAACAATGTCCTCTATCTCATATTTTCATTGCTTTTCCAAGGGGGTGTGAACCTTTAGTACTTGTTAGCTACTTCTTAATTATCCATAAAAATTGGGTACAGGTTCATATAGGAAAATTCCACATTTAATACACAAACATATATTTACCTGATAGTATTCCTTTCCTTCCTTCAGAGTCTTGACTTCACTCTGAGGAATAATGAAGCAGCCTCACTGGGTTTTATCTATATTCTCTGTCTTATCAGAGAAAAGGCCCAGAGGCATGGGAAATCACGAGTATTGTCATCCCACAAAAACAAGGGGGACTGGTAACTCATTCCTGCTCATCTTTGTATTTCTCAAAAGTAGCTCAAAAATTAACTAAATCAAGATCTTTTCCTCGGTTAAAGGCTGCTGTAAGAACTACATTTTTCCAGTAGGTGGTAGTATTTTCTTTCTTCAGCATTAGAATTTTTGAAGATTGCTTCAAGGTTTGTTGGCTTTGGTTTTTTTTAGTTTTACTATTCCTTTAGTAATCTGCAGGTGACAATAAATACGTTAATGAAACTGATGTTTCTTCCACTTAAAAAAAAATATATCATTCTTGAGGGCTTTCAAAGGCTCCAGATGGAGAACTTCTGCTTTGGCTGCCATTGATAGCAAAGTATATACCAGGGTAGACTGTGCTGGAACTCTCCTTCCCACTTCCCGATAGAAGTTATTACTAAGGACTAGCTAATTGACAGTAATGTCTTGGAGAAAATGATATGACAAGATTTTCTGCCTCTATAATAATAACGCAAAACAAAAATAAAACATTGACCCTAGGATTCTCGATTTTAGGGAAGATAGTCATTAAATTATGCAGATACCTTTCCTGGCTGGTAAATAATGATCTTTTTTTTTTTTTTTTTTAATTTTTTTTTTTTAACATTTTTATTTATTTTTGAGACAGAGAGAGACAGAGCATGAATGGGGGAGGGGCAGAGAGAGAAGGAGACACAGAATTGGAAGCAGGCTCCAGGCTCTGAGCCATCAGCCCAGAGCCCGACGCGGGGCTCGAACTCACGGACCGTGAGATCGTGACCTGAGCTGAAGTCGGACGCTCAACCAACTGAGCCACCCAGGCGCCCCTAAATAATGATCTTAAACAATTATTCACATATCCTATTTTAACGAAAACATCTAAACTTCTGCAGCCCCACAAGACCTTTCAATACCCCCAACAGAGGGTTAGGTACTGTCACGTGTCTGACACGGAGTACACGGTGCAGGAACTAGGTTTGAGGAAGGAAGGAAAGATTGAAATTCCAGGGGCATATCATATGCTATAGTTGAAAAACGGAAGTGTGAATTAGTGGAATATCTCAAATACTTTATCCTCAAAAATACTGTGTTCACGAGAGTAGGGAAGGCTGGGTCTAAAGCACGTATTTCACTGGTTTCTCAGAAGTACTCTTATAAACAAAGCTTCAAGTTGCTGGAGAAAGTGTTTAAGGGCTCAGTGTTTCACTGAAAACACAGAGATAGCCCGGATTTGGCCATCAAGTCCACCCGTGAATATTCACCTGATAAAAGAAGGTACAGCGATTTTCAGGTTTTAGGGGATTTTTAACCCCTACTACTAACCCTCTACTTTGGAGACCATACCCGGCGCGCTTTTCCAGCCCACCTTAGGCTGCTCCACTGGCCGCCGCACCCCGCTATTCTCTTCCGCGCCGGTGGAACACTGACCCAGACACCGCCTCGGCCTCGCGCACTGCCCAGGTCCAGGTCAACCGCCCAGCCTGGAGACTCCGACGCGCTGACAGGTGGCCTCGCTCGCCTTCCTGCCGCCCAGGGCGGCGCTCGTCTCCCACTCCACACGAGAGTACTCAGGCAGAGCTCCCAGGCTGGTCCCAGAGGTCGGGTGGCTTCCGGAGGGGAGAGAGAGGCCCAAGAGGGGGGCCGGGTGGCCCGCGAGGCCGCCGACGAGAGCAAAGGGCAGCCAAGGCCAGAGCCAGGTGAGGGGTGATTAGGCCAGGCACTTCTCGGGCCCCTTAGACAAGGGCCACAAGGAAGGAGGCCGGCATCCAGGCACGCCCAGCTCAGTGCACTGCCCCTGGGCCTCGGAGACCCCCGGAACCCGTCCACGCCCCCCGCGGCAGGGACCCCACGTCTCCACCGCCCGCCGGGCAAACAGATCTGCCACCCCCGGGCCCCAGGAGGACTCAGGGGTCACTCGAGTCGGCGAACCACATTCCCAAGGACGAGCAGCCGGTGGCAGCACCGCCCCCTCTCAAGCGCCCTCCGAGTCTTCTACTGCCAGCGCTCGGGCGACTCGAGGGCCCCGACCCCTCCAGAACTCTCAGACGGCCGGGGAGGAATTCACTCGGACCCCTCCCCTTCCCCAAACTTCTTCCCTCCGCCGGGCGGTTCTTCCAACCCGACCCCTCCGCGCCATCCGGCTCCTCCCTCTCCGCTCCCCTCCCCTTTTCTGGTCCCCACGTAGGAATCCGCCCCCCCACCCCCGTCGCCCGCGGGGTCCGGGGATCCTCCCCCCGACTCCCCCCGCGTGCCGCCGCCGCCGCCCGGGTTCCTCTCCCCCCTCTCGGGCGCTCCCTGCCAAGCCCATGATGTAATGGTGTATGTTAATCAGTAGCATGTGGGGAGCTCCGGCTCGGCGGCTCAGTCCTCCGCGAGCCGACACTGGGCGGCGCTTGGCAGCGGCCCGGCGGCGGCCCGGACTCGCAGCACCGCACTCTCTGAGCGCCGCCCGCCCCGACGGCATGGCCCGCAGCCCGCGCTCCGGGCGCCCAGACCCTCGCTGAGAGCCGCCTCGACCCGCGCACGGGGCCCCGAGCCGCCGGGATGAGCCGCGCCGAGGAGTGGCGCCCCCCACCCTTCCGACCGCGACAGGGGACCCGCCAGTCACTGGGTTCTCCTCCCAGAGACTTCCCCCTCTACTCGAGTTCTGGGAGGCAGGAAGCAGAGATTGCCGGCAGCGAGCAGCACCCTCGGGTTGGCCGCTGGGCTCTTCTCTCCGCCGCCAGCCGCCACCGGACAGGGATGGGACTAGGGGAGCCCCAAGCTGAACTTTCTTCAAGTCGTTGGGGGCGTGTGCAGGCGGCGCCCCAGGCAGTCTCAGCGGAGCCGCCCTGCCCGCACCGGGAAGCGGTGCTTCGAACTCCGGCTGTCTCCGCGCTCGGCGCGCGCCTGGAACAGATTCCGCCTTCGGCCTGGGAAGCGCGGGCGAGGCGTGGGCGGACCCGCCCGTAGGCGGTGGCAGCCAGGGCAGAATGCCACAAAGCACACACGCGCATGCCACACAAACACACGCACGCACACGCATCTGATCGCTCAGGGCAAGCAGGCCTCGGAGACCTCCAGGTGGGCTGGAGGCGCGGCGCGGGGAGCCGGGGCTCGGCTGCGCCTCCGCCCGCTGGGCACGGAGCTTTGGGTGGGGGAGTTTATTTTTGTCTCGAGCTGCTGCCACTTTATGCAGCCTAAATCAGAGGGGCGCCTGGCGGCAGGAGATGCTGGCTGTTGCTGTGTAGTGGAGACTGCAGCCGCTCATGCTCAGGAGGTGGAGGAGGAGGTGGGAGGAGGGTAGAGAAGGAGGAGGTGGAGGAGGAGGTGGGAGGAGGAGGAGGGGGAGGAGGAGGAGGAAGGAACTCGGGCTGCCGCTGCCTCCGCCCTCTGTTTGCATTAGCCCCATTTTACCCCACGCCCTTCGCAGCCGCATTGCAAGTTTCCGCGCGAGGAAGATCTGTTGCTGGTGCTGTGGCGTTTTACGGAAAAACCCTCAGGCCACCCGGGTAGCGTGTGTAGGAGCACCAGCCGTTCGCAGAGGCAGCAACAGGAAGCGATGAAGGTCTCTCCCGCACCTGGGAAGGAGAACCTGACCATTCCAGGCAGGAATAGCTCATCTCCACATCCGGGTGCGGAGGGGCGACAACCGGAATTTGGGGGGATACCAGCGATCCCCGCCCCTCTGATGCTCGTTTCCCGGGCGCGCTCCCTCGCTGGCCGAGTCTCACCTGCAGCCTTTCTCTCCTTCCGAGTGGTGATCGCCGCTCAGAGATGCAGGTGTGAAGGGTCCGAGCTGCCGCCCAGCGGGAAGAGACTGGGACCGGAAATCACCATCGGAGCTGCAGAAAGGGGGAAGAGCATTCTTTCAGTTTGTGCCTTGTAAATTTTTAATCGTTATTTTTAAAAAACATTTCGTGCTACTGTCTGTCATCATCTCTGGGGAAATCAGCCGAACCGCAGACATAACTGAAACCAGACGAGAGAGGCAGGAGCCAGGCGGTACCTGCAGCGTCGGGCACCGGAACCTGTGGAACAGGAACAGCACGTCTCCGGCAGCCGCGGGGCTGCAGCTCCACCAAGCACTGGGAGGCAGGCAGGGGCGAATGGGGCGCCGAGGGGCTTCGTGAGACTAACCCCTAACCATGATGTTTCGCGACCAGGTCGGGGCAGGCTGGTTTAAGGAGGCACAGAACGAGTGCAGAGAGCAGGCTGTTGCGCTGCTGTCTCTGCTTAAGCGCGTGAGCCAGACCCAGGCCCGTTTCCTCCAGCTCTGCCTTGAGCACTCGCTGGCCGACTGCGCCGAGCTGCACGTCCCTCAGGCAGAATAGCAACAGCCAGCCAAGTGCGCAGCCGCCGCTGTCCCTCCCCCCTTTCTCCTTCCCCATCCCCTCCTGCTTCCAGCCTCGGGCCTGGGCCCCGCCCCCGGCCACCTCCCAGTGGGTACACCGAGGGCGCGGGCCGGGGCCCTTGGCATGTCACCGTTCCCTGCCCCCCCCCACCCCCAGTCCCTGCGCCCACTTACCTCCGCTGGCCGCTTTGGTTTTTTGCCCACTGTCAACTCCTTCAGCCCATTCCGTGTGGTAGCCACGGTAGCATGAATGATTGATTTTTCTCTCATGCAGTTTCCTGGGAAATAAGTAAGTCAGGTCACGTAGAGTCTGGATTTTCTGGGCTTTTTTTTTTTTTTTTTTCTTCTTCTTCTTCTTTTGGGCAACGTGGCTCTCTGGATTTCAGCAACACATGAAGAAACCCGGGCTGCCCTTCAGAGAGCCAAGCTTTGATTAGGCTGTATGAAGGATACATGAAAATTCAATTTTATTATTCATTTTTCCCCATGGATATTACAGTTTCAGAGCTCTGTCTTCAGACTAATATGCAGGTGACGCTACATTCGCAGTTTGTATACTATGAGGTTATACTTCTTTATCACGACCTCGTCGTGTCGATGTGGATCTTGTAGAAACGGTCTTACAGAAAGGGTTTCGGTAGAGAGCAGGCATGAATCAGGGTCCTTCATATTTTTGTTGGAAAACTTTACTGAATATAACAGAATCGTTTCATATTTACAGACCTCTCCACTAGTATAGAAAATGAATGTACTGGAAAGGTTCAGCAGTTTTCTATTTGCTAGCATGGCTGGTGACAGACTGAAATTATATCCTGGGGTGGGGAGGTGGGGTGAGGATGGGGGGTAGGGGCAAGGTCCGTTGTAATTTTGGATAGGGGAAATTCTTTAGTTCCTGCTGCAGCAGGAGGGTGAACAGAGCCCCCAGTGTTTACACAGAGAAAAGAATGCAGGGTCCTCTTCCAGCTGTTCCGTGTTAAAGCCTCCAGCCTGCGAGACTCAGCAGAGGTCTGGGCTGCCATTTGATGACAAGGTCCAGTTGAGGGCAGCAGGGCCTGGGAGACACTAAAGTGAGTGTGCGGTCAGGGCAGCAAGAGGAGAGCTGGCCTCCTCCTTACTCCTCCTCCCTGGTGTGGTGCTCATGAGGCTGAAAACCCTTGGATGGGTTGTTTCCATATATAGAATCAGAGGCTGGAAGTGAGCCGGGAAATCCTCACAGCCCTTTTCCTGACCAGACAGGGCTGCACCCAGAGGTCCCTGTGCCTCCAGGTGTGGAAGGCCGCACTGAGACAGATCACACAGGCCCCAGTGGGATTCAGCAAGAGCCCAAACAGCACCCCCTGTTACAAGGGTGGCAGGGGCAGGGCCCCTTCTGTTCAGTTACACATTTATAAATAGCTGAAGGGCCAGGCTCCTTCCTAAGGGTGTGGGAGCATAGCTAGGAAGACTGATGATCTGCTCTCTTGACTTCTGTCCTTGATGTGACAGGGTAGTCTGGTTCACCTGCTTGATATTGTTTTCTCGGGTTTGACAAACAAGGTTATGTAAACTTTCATGTGTTATAGACTGCAGGGGATTTAAGTACAGTAATTTGTGTGGAATGCTTGACTTCAGTGCTTGAAGGGACTGTTTAAAATAATGAATCTTCAGGTGACTCAAATGTTAGAGCAACATTCTTGCCCTTTGGGTTAAAGGAGACTTTTCCCCACATAGTAGCAGTTCAGTAAGTGAAGCCATTAAATGTGTGGTGTAGAAAGAAATCACTTACTTTAAAAGTCTCGTCATTTAATAGACCAAAAAAAAAAAAAAAGAACTTCTGTGTTTTTAAAAGTCATTTGGCAATCTTTTTCCTCAAAAATTTTATTTTGCTATACTTATTTGTGGAAACCTACCTGTTCCTGCTGCTAAGTGCCATAGGTATACAAAATCTAGAGCCATTATGTAAGATAGGGACCATTTTCCAGTTTCTGAATTAATGTTACAACCCAGAAATTTTGCTTTCTTTGAAACCTTTGCACTTGTCCTGTGGCCAGGACAGAAATTCATTAGTGAGGTCGTGTGATGGTTCAATTTACTTCTGCAGTATGGGGATCATACAGAGAATCAAGATTGGTCATAGCATATATCCAAGCCTGGAATATGGCTCTCTCACATATCTGGAACCTAGCCAAGAACCAGTGGGGCAAAAATGTCCACTCAGCAACCAGAATAGAGGGCATCAAGTATGGGAGAATACTTCAGACCCTTTCTCAGAACATACTTATTCTTATTTTAGATAACAACCCTAACAATTTTTTTTAATGTGAGAAAGGATCCATGGCGTATTAGGGGTAGCACATTTAGAATGAGGTGACCCTTGACAGCTTGACAACCAGGAAAGAAACAGAAATATTATAACTTTAGACACAAGAATTGGAAGTAGAAGCCCTGAAGGTTTGGGAATGTTAGGGTAGGAACCCTCAACTGATTCTGCAGGCATTATTCTGTAATAAGTAAATAATTACTATTTACCATGAATGAGAGTGAACTACCAAAAAGGATACATTTTTGAATACACTCTTTGAGAAGAGAGGAAAATATGCCATAAACTTTGAAAATATTGACAGTCAAGATAATTAACCTCCAAGGCTGTTTTGGTTGGTAAAGCTCTTACCCATTCAGAAAACTAGGCTGTGTGGAATGACTCATTCATTGGCTGGCTGAGGTTTCCTATACCAAAATCATCATGTATCACTTACTTTTCTTTGTAATCATCAATTAAAAAGCACATATTTTTTCTGGTGTTGAGAGTTTAAACCTTGGTGAATGGGAACCAAATTCATATCTGGGGCGTGATCTCAGTGTAATAAAAAATGTAATTAGTCATAGTATGAACTTGGCTCTATTTTCTCCAGGACTGACTTTAAATAGAGATAATTTTTCACATTAAATGTGGTTTGTTTGAGATCCGTGGGATGTATTTTGATACTAACTTTTTCTTCTCTTAAATTTAGCATTTATTGAGAATTTAGTGGTTCACGGTTTATCCTTTGCCTCAGGTTCATGGTCATCTGAAATCCAAAACAAACAAACAAACAAAAAATGGTTGAGTCATTCCCTGAGACTGTGTGTGTGTGTGTGTGTGTGTGTGTGTGTGTGTGTGTGTGTGTGTTTCACGCTAGATTTAGTCAGTGGGATCTGCTCATGGTCAGCTTCCCAGGTAGAGACTGGTTTCCAGAACCCTCAAGTTGTAGATTATTGCCCTCCAGTCCAGATTAACCTTGAGACCTCTGGCCAGTCCCAGTTTGTAGATGACTGTTTCTGGGGCTAACAGGTCCTTTGATACATAAAAATGGCAAAATGGAACCTACTCTCTTTACGTGCAGTTTCCTAAAGAAAAATAGGTTGTGTGACATTATTTATTCATGACTTTTGTCATTTGGACTTGAAATATGTTTTGCAGTGGAAACAGTGTAATAAATGGAGGTGTGCAAGTGAATCCATAAAGACTTACTAACTCACAAAACAGTGCATACTATGTGGGGCAATTGCGTATGTTTGTAGTAAGTAAATGATAAAAAGATTGTTGCTTTCCGTATAATTAAATACAACAGAAAAGATGATCTGAAATGGTGGTGCTTGAGACAAAACTAACTGTGGAGATTGGAAAAGGACTTGTGGGCATGTTTTCTCTCATTAGAGGGTGAAGGTGTTGATTCTGCGATTTTTATAGTGTTTGGTTTCTATAGAGTAGGTGTATCATACCCTGAGTTGCTCCTTTAGATCATAAACGGAGTAAAAGGAAAACAGAAGAATTGAGATTTTTCCTGATGTTGCTGCAGAAGATCTTGTTTGTAGTTCTGCCTTTCACTTACTCATTCAACATTCGTTTTCTGACTGCCTGCTACTTTCCTGCCCCTGTGTTATGCAGTGGGAATACAAAGGTAACATACTATATTCCAGTGCCTGGTCCATAGATACCTGGTGTTGGGTAAATGACTAACACGGTATCATAGGTGCTGAAGCAGTGATATGGGAATAAAAGGAGTGGAGGGAGGGCTTCTGGGAACATTGTAAACCTAGCAGTTAATTGCCTGGGGAGTCAGAGAAGACTTCACTGAAGAGGAGATATGTTTGAGTTGAGTTTTGAAGGGTGATTAGGAGTTGGTTCAGTATGTACAAAGGATTGTAGAGAATACGCATGAAGGCATTTTTCAGGCAGAAGGGATAGCTTTGATAAAAATGTTGCCTTATGAGAGGGCCTGTGCAGAAAATAGTGAGTTGAGTGGCTAGAAGAGTGTAGAATCCCGACTTCTAAGTAAGGCAGAAATTAAAACAGGAGCTGTGGGTGTGTAGGATTTTGCCAGCTAAGGTGTTTGGACCTAATCGTGCAGAGATGATTGAAAACCCAAGAAGGCTTTTAGGAAACGAGCTAAAAGATGGAAGGGCTGTGTGTGTGTATTTGTACACTTTTGGGAAAGTGCTTTCTAGTATATGCATGATCCTCTAAAAGGCAAGAATGGGAGAAGTGAGGTAAAGTTTGGTTTGGTTTCCATTTTGGTCACCTGGTGACATCATTATCTCAGGGCGGCTTTGTTGACCTCAGCATTGATCTGTGGGGGAGAAGAAACGACTAATATGGAGAAGAAAGGAAGGTTTGTCCAGGTGGCCATTTATTTATATGCATGGGAGGGCATATGTCGTAAAGGATTCTTGCAGTATGGATTTTGAAATCAGTCACAGTGCGCTGGTCAGTTGATTTCTGGGCCTCAGTTTTCTCATCTGTAAAATGGAGCTAATAAAGCCTTGTTATTGTCCAGAAGTTACTTGTTAATAATCCAGTGAGGACCTATTATATCCGCCATGTTTAAATTTGTCTCTGTTTAATGTGGAGTTGCCTCTAAATGAATGTGGAATTTATATAAATAATGTTTTTGTAAATGACAGGAACTCTTTATTTAAAGGATTATCAAGAAGAGATTGGAGGGGCACCTG